GGTAGACTTTGAACTCACATCTTCTTTCGTCTGTTTCATAGAAATAAAAGCATGTACTACTTTTCTTGTTCCTAAATTTACCTGGGTAGAATCTTGCCCCAAGGTCACCATATACTTACTTTAATTTAATATCCCTGAGTATACAGGATTTCACAAACTGGTGCCCTTTTAACACTCACACCATATATTTATTATTTTTCTTTTCTAAGCTTGCTCTACTTGTTCAAAATGCTCTTCATGAGACTTAAGGAGAGAACAAAGATTCTGCTTGTTGTTTTTAAGATTTCCTTTGTCAATACAATTTATGTAAATGTCTTCCCTTAGTCTCAGGTAGACTCCTAAGATAAGGATAGAAAGCAGCCAAGTTGTTCAACAAAATCACACACACACACACACACAAACACACACACACACACACAGTTACTAGGTCATGTAATGAAATTCTTCTTCACCAAACTCTGTTGGATTAGCTCTGTGTCATTCAAATCAATCTCAGCAACAAAGTCTTTCATATTCTTACTTGAATAGCCATTTACTCTCAGTTAAAGCTTTCCACTGCTTTCCAAATTCAAAGTTTCATAATGGACATTCTTCTAGACAAAATTATGCCCAGGACTATCATAGCAATACCCCAATCCCTGAAACAAACTTCTGTCTAAGTTTAATATAGCTGTGACCTTAGAGGTCTGCCAGAGTTTGACATATTCAGAGCCAGATGCTCACAGATAACCATTCAACTGATCAAGGGGTTCCCAATGAAGGAGTTAGAGTGAAGACTGAAGGAGCTGAAAGGGTTTGTGGCCCATGAGGAGAGTAACAATATCAACCAATCAGATCTCCCAGGGGGTAAATGACCAGCCTGGGAGTACTTAGGGAGGGATCCACGGCTCTAAGTGTGTATGTAAGGGATGTTGGCCCTGTCAGGCATAAGTGGGAGAGGAGATCCTTGGTCCCATTAAAGTTGTATGCCTTGTGTGAGGAATTTGAGATTGGAGAGGTGAGAGTAGGGGGAAGGTAGGGAACATCCACAGAGAAGCAGGAGGAGGGGCCATGAGATAGGGGATTCCTGGCCAGGGGTGGAATGAGGTAAGGGGATAACATCTGAAATGTAAAAAAAAAAAAAAATCCAATAAAAAAATACCTACATGTGACAGCGGGCTAATATCCAAAAATTATAAAGAACTTGAAAAGTCAAATAACAACAAAACAGATAACCCAATTTAAAAATCGGCACACACAGAGCTATACAGAGAATATGTCAAAATGAAAGTACATATAGTATTCTAAATATGCACAAAAGAAAGTAAGTAATATAGATTCAATTTTTATGTCCACATGTGGTTTAATGAACAATAATCTTTATCACTTTCTATTTTCATTCAATTTTTAGCAGGATATATTTTCTTAAACATAGATTAAATATACTAATATGACTGTTTATTGCTTTCTGAGAGTTATTTAATTGTCTGTAGTTCTTTATTCATTGTCTCCTGAGTTGTTTATATTGACAGCAGCATCTATATATTGCTGCTCTGGTGCAGGTCATATGAAGATAGTCATGTTGATGACATTTTATATTTTACAGGTAGCTGCTTCCTGTCTAGAGTTACAAACTCTTACAAAACATCCTGATTTAATGGCTCTTAAATTTTTCTACCCTCTTTTTACCAATTAACTATGAGCCTTTGTTTATTAGTGTGTTGCAAATATATCAGTTTTAATTTGATCTTCATAATTCTGCATTCCGAGTAGTTGCTTTTTCTTTAATGATCTGGATCTGTTTCAAAGATACATTCCTTTGATGAGTACAGGAAACAAGATTTATGTGAGAACATGAACTTCACTATTTAAAAAATTTAATAAAAATTTTGTGTTAGGGCAAGCCCCATTAGCTGACAGTATTTAGCAAAAAAAAGAGGTAATAAGGATGAAATAAATAAGTGAGTTAAACACTGTATTCGTAAGAATATTGCAACCTTGACTACCTGGCAATCAGAGTTCATTTATAATTTAATAATATGAAACTCTATAGTTAGAGATGGATTCTTTTGTTTGTGTGTTTGTTTTGTTTATCATTCTTTTAATTTATCTTGTCTTAATTTTTAATTATTCACTATAGATACTACTGACTGACCCTCCCAGTCACCCTCTTCCACAATCCCTCTCACACTCACCCTCCCATTCTCTTCTGCAGAGTTGTGAGCACCCTGGTTATCTTGCCACCTTAGCATTTTAAGTCTCTACTAGGCCAGACAAGGTGGTCCACCTAGAATAATATATCCTAAATATAGCCAACATCTTTTGTTCTCATCACTCCAGACTCACATGAACACCAAGCTGCCCAACTACTATACATATGTTGGGAGGCCTAGGTTAAGGCCTTGTACATTTTTTTGGTTGGTGGTTCATTCTCTGAGAACCCCATGAATCCAGGTTGACACCATTTGTCTTCCTGTACAGTTCCTATCCCCTTGAGGCTTGCAGTACATCCTCCTATTTGTCCATAGGAGTCCCCAATCTCCATCCACTGTATCTGTGTGTGTCAGCTGTGGAGAGTAAACCTTCAGAGCAAAACACAAGGGAGATGAGGAGAGAAAAGTGGATTTTAATATCACTGTGTTGGAAAGACAGGTGAGATAGCTAGATGGCCATGAAAATGAATAGAAAAATGGAACCAATAGGGTTGAGGAGGTGGAGTGTCATCTCCAGGAAGGAACCAGACCTGGAACAACAGGAACACTCAAGAATCAATGAGGTTTATCTTATATATGACTCACTCAATTTGGAATCGGGAACTTGAAAAGGCTACCTCCAGTTCTCAGGCTGGAACACAAGTACTTTCAAACCAAACTATATACTTTTTACATGGAATGCAGAAATGGGTCATGGAGCAGAGATTAGGGGAATGACCACCTAGCAACCAGCCCAAAATGAGAGCCATCCCATGGGTAAGCACCAGTCCCTGACTCTACTAAAGATACTCTGTTGTACTTGTAGACAGGAGCATGTTGTTCTCTGAGAGGTTCCACCCAGGAGCTAACTAAATTTTTTTTTCCTAAACATAGATTGTATCACTAGCTAACTTCTCTAAGAATGAGACATCCTGATATTTTGTTGTTTTGTTTGTTTGTTTGTTTTTAAATCATTCTTCCAGATCATTTTTCCCATCAGTATAAGCCCTATATAGGCACGTATTAATGCCAGCCATTTTGACATCGTTGATATATTTTTTTACTGGAGAGGCATACCATATGTGACACCCCCGATCTCATATGCCATGTAATTGCCTGAGGGCATTGTAAGAAAAGGCTTATATTTTTATCTTGGTGAACCTACTTGAAGCCTATCAATCTTTTTAAATTTTTTAATATTTATTTTGTTCTGATTATTTTCTTCCTTTGTAAGTCCAAAAGCAGATCTTCCTAAAATATCTTGAAACCATTTTATCATAGGGAAATCTAGGACATATTTAGGTGTATGACAACCTCCACAAGGAAAAGGGATCTTTAAGTAGACCCAGATAAGGATATCTTCCTAAAGAAGGATAGGTAATATACTTAAGAAATTTCTGGGGAAGTGTAGAAAAGTACACATGAAAGGTGGAATAAAAGATTCTTAAGAAATTTTCCACCAATTAAATATTCTCAAGTTTTACAAATAATAAAAGCCTCCCTCAAGCCTGAAACATGAAGAGATCTAAAAAAAATTGAAAAACAGTATATCATGATTAACATGTAGGTCTGTATTATGGGATCTTTATCAAACAGTTGTGCTGGCTTTTTGACTTTCACTGTTCCCATTAGATATGGGTGTGCCAATATTATATTAGTAATATGGAAGGTATATGTTTCTGTCCAAGGTGCATGGTATTTCTGCCATTGGGTAGACTTCCTATGAAGATTTCCAATAAAGACATGGTTTCCCTTGAGTTGATTGGCCATCAGAGAAATAGGAAAATTACCAAGAAAATCTAAAAAAGATATAGCCAAGTATATAGTTATAAGAGCAAAGATAGACCAAAACTAAGAAAAAAGTCACATTCTATAGTTGTAACAATATTATATTTGTTTTCTTTCATATAACAATGGAGATAGAAAAAGATTATTTTAGTATGATATCTATTATTTTCACAAAATAATAATGAATCATGGAGAAATAGGTAGTAATAAAATAGAAGGCTGTAAGTGAATTTTGATTTTGACTGAGAATTTATACCAATTTACAAAAAATTAGGTGACAGAAACTTTCAATAACTGGACCTGTCACAAATTTTATCAAATTACCAATATAGGCTCCAAGTTGTTTGTTATGATTGACTTATATTTCACTTTGGGTAATAAAATATATTTCTAAATGAACCTTTATACTAAATTAGTAGACAAAGCATAATGGCATAAACTAGAATTCTACTATATTACAAAAGATTCCATTTAAATTATGACAATTAGTAGCTACAAAATAAATAAATAAATTGAAGCAGACCATTATAAGTTAATTAAATGCCTTGAGAGCTTCACATGTGTTATGTTGTTCATTTTCAAGCATGGTATATTGAAAATGAAATATATAATAAATTTACCTATTACTTACATGCCAATAAATTTTTTAGTATGATTAATTAATAAACATTAAGTAATTAAATTATCATGGACTTTCTGAACTAAATTTTTTTTCTATTTCAGGAAGAATGAAGAATAATAATGAAGTTCAAAAAAAATAAAACAATAAATGATATGGAAGATTTTGTATCAAGGAAAGATACACACAATTTACATGACCTAGTAATGGAGACATATGTTCTTAGACTCAGAGAAGGTGAATCACCAGAGCAAATGTGGTTTTCAAACAGGGAAAATGAATTGCCTTCATACTGTAATACTATAATATAGTTGGATAAAGAATAAAACCAGATAAAATTACATTCATTCTTTCATTGTATATTTTAAAATGATATATGAATGATCCCTTTTATGAAGTTGTTAACATAAAAGCTAAATTTATCATTTCAACTGTATATTAGGAGAATTCTTACTTCTACAATGTGTTATTTTCTTAATATGATTAAATGAATTCTTCTTTGGTCTCAATAAGATGATGTAACACTTGGGACCAAATATGAAGCCAAGGAGTGCTGTGCTGGAAGCCAAGATAGAGAACACTTCCATGGCCACCATGACCTTCCCTTTAGTGCTGTGATAGACAGGAAGAAAGGTTACCCAGACACAGAAGAACACCAGCATACTGAATGACAGAAATTTGGATTCATTAAATGTATCAGGTAAATTTCTAGATAAGAAAGCCATAGTATAACTCCCAAGGGCCAAGAAACAGAGGTATCCCAGGACAGAGTGGAAGGCAACAGCTGAGCCCTTGTTGCATAAAATGATGATGTGTCCAGGTTCAATACGAGCATCTTGGTCAACGAATGGTGGAGAAGTTGCCATCCATATTCCACAAAGAAGAAGCTGGATCAGGGTGCAGATAGGAATGATGTAGTTTGGACCCCTTGATATCATTAGCCATTTTACCATTCTTCCTGGAAAACTGACTTTAAAGGCAAGGACCACAGTAATAGCTTTGGCCAACACAGTGGCAAGTGCCATAGTGAATGCAACTGCAAAGGTGGTTTGCTGAAGGATGCAGGCAGCAGTGTTGGGCTGACCAATGAAGTTCAAAGAACATAGGAAACAAAAGGTGAGTGTGATGAGCAAAATGTAACTCAGAGCTCTATTATTGGCCTTGACAATAGGAGTGTCTCTGTGTTTCACAAAGATGCCTATAACAAAGGCAGTGAGTGCAGAGAAGCACAAACCTATGCTGGCAAGAGCCATCCCCAAGGGGTCTTCATAGGCCAGAAAGCTCACAGATTTTTGGTAGCAGTTGTTCTTCTCGGTGTTTGCATAGTGACTCTCTGGACACTTCACACACTGGTCTGCATCTAGTCAGAAATATAAGTTATAATATCAGGAGTCCAGCCAACTTTGATTCCTTTTATTTTCAGACATTTCTAACTACAGGGACTGTCACAGATGTCACTGTACTTTGTTTTGTCAGGGGCAAAGTAATTAGTACACTAGTGTGCATAAGTTTAGATTTATATACTAAATTTGTTCCTTATATATTATTTTCATATTTATTTTCACAATAGGATTTGATCCTATCATTATGTAACTAGTACCATCACACTTCTTCCCTTCCCCTTTTTTTTTTTACTTACAACTCAATGTGCTCTCTATATCTACCATTACATTTTAATAACCAGTTAGTCCATACAGTAGAACAAGTGTGTGTATAACTCAGAATGGCTTCAGTGGGAAAACATGTGCAGACTTTCAAGCTCAACATTTGTTAAGGATAATACTGCATATTCTCAGGTACCCATCAACTTCCAGTAACTTCCTTAAGTTGTAATTTTAACTGTACTAGGTAAATGACTGTTCTTTTTTCATATATACAACCTTTAATGAAAATGCTTTAACTCTTTTGAAAGTAGTTAGAATACTAAATTACATTGCCAAAACCTACTGTGGCCTTGAAAGTACTCAAAATTCACATATCCTATTTAATTTAAACATGTGAAATCTAGAGTAAAAAAAGTAATGTTTCAAAATTTTCACATTATACTTTCCTATATATGAATCCTAAATTTACTTTTCTCACTAAAATTCTTTGTGTTTTGAAATTCTCTTCCTTCTCTGCTGGAGTTTAAGGAAGAGATCCTATTTCATTAGATACTACACAAAAGTGACCCAATAATATATCTTCATAACTTTATAGTAAGCATGTATTTTCAAATAGGATATTCTTAGAAGATGTGAGCGTTTTCAAAAACATTATAATATTTTGCTCTAGAACTTTTGAAATTTTTGTACACATTATCATTAACATAAAATAGATGGACAAAGATTAATAAATTACATTATCTCTGTACTATATTTTGAATATGCTTGACACAGACAGTGGGACTCTTTGGACATGTGGTTTTCTTGAAGTAAGCATGTCACTGTGGGAGTGGGCTTTGACACCCTCGTCCTACAAGCCTGGAAGTCACTCTTTTTCTAGAAGTTTTCACCTAAAAATGTAGAACTTTCAGCTCCTCCTATGCCATGTCTGCCTGGATGATGTCATGCTCCCAACTTGATGATAATTTACTGAACTTATACCTGTAATACAGTCCCAATTAAATGTCCTTATAAAAGTTGAATTTCTCAAAGTGTTTGTTCACAGCAGTAAAATGCTAACTAACACATAAGTTATTACCACGAGTTTGGGATTGCTATGGTAGATTTGACCATGTTATTGGTTGGAAGAAAATAGATTTTGAGATTTTGGATGGGGAAAGCAGTAAAATGCTTTAAGTTGGACTTAACGGGTTATCCCTGTAGGAATAGGGAAGCCTTTGTTGCTGAGTGAGATTTGAACTGTTCAAGCCTAGTTCTAGAGGTAAGTGCAGAAAAGAACTTTTATATGGGACTGTTCTTGTGGTACTATGGTGATGCATGTGGCTGCCTTTGCCCTTGTTTAAAAAGTCTAACTGAGAATAAGATAAAGAGATTTATATTAACTTAATTGACCATGGAACCCCATGAAGCTGAGCAGAGACTTTATCACTTGTTAAGTCTCATGAAGAACATTTTCCTACAATCTTAGCAAGCATAAAAAGGAAAAATATAAAGGTTATGGTTCAAGTAAAAATAAAGGGGTACCTGGAAATGAAATATCTACAAAGATAGAAAGAATTAAGAGAGTTGTGACCTTTTGGCAAGATCTAGCCCAACCAAACTTATTGTTTCAATTGCAGTTGAAAAAGGAATAATTTTTGTGTTTTAATCTTGAATGAACTACAATCTAGAAATAGAGTGTAAATTTGTGATTCAGATCGTGAGGATGGAAAACACAGGCTTTTCACCCTGATCATGGGGAACAGTAGCCATGAAATCTTAGGCCAATGAATAGTGGTACACTCCTTTAATCCGGGTAACAAAGATGTCTGAGTTTAATGCCACCCTGTGACAAAGCAAGTTCTAAGTAGAGAAAAGATTAAATCCAGGTGTGATAGTACATGCGTTACATCTCAGCATTTCATAGATAGAGCCATGTATATTTTTAAGTTCAAGGTCAATCTACAGTGCAAGTCCCAGGACAGTCAAGCTTATACAGTTAGAGAGTTGTAAAAAAAAAAAGCAGGCAATAGAATGAGGTGGAGGCATATTTCAGCTCCAGTAAGTAGCCGAACTCAGCAGCATTGGCGATATGGCTCTGGCTTATAAGTCAATAAGAGAAGGAGACTACAGGAAAAATTGATACTGGTTAGCTGAATCTAAGAAATTAGCAATAATCATGGATAAACCAGCATTACTGAGGTGAAATCATCTGCTAAGTGTTTTCTGAGAGTACAAAGAAGCTGTTTTGCAGATATAGCCAAAGTTAAACTAAGGGCTACAACTGTACTTGATCTTACAGTCACCCAGTTAGTACTGATTTTAACAGTATGAAGGGGTTATAGAGAGTAGCAGAGGTTTGGCACAATGAGAAGCCAGAAAATGCCATCGGTCAATGAAAAGTCTCAGTTGTAGTTGATGGCATAGGACCGAAGGTGTCATGCAAATAAGGTGAGGCTCAGCAGCATGAAGGGAGCCTATGAAAGGCTATTGGTGAAGCCTAGCTACAGTAGAAGACTCAAATGTACTAGAGATGCCTATAGCATAGGATGATCACCAAAGTCACCAGCAACAGCAGAGTGGAGTCAAGCAGAGCCTAGTGTGTTACAAAGGGCGGAGCTAGAGAAGTAATGCAAGCATTTGGAGAAGCCTAAAAATTATGTGTGGATCCTACACATAGAACAAGAAGCTATAATGCTGAAGTTACCTTGGAAACCCCAAAATGTTCAAGATTCCAGAGCCATGGGATATCTGCTGAGGAGAGCTGCTAACAGGGATTGGGATAAACTCAGGAGAAAGAAGTTTGTTACACTTAACAAAGATCAAAAAGGAGTAGAAATCTTAAGATTTTTTTTGACATCAGACATAGAGATCCAGAGTTTGAAGTTTGCCTAGCTGGTTTGTGTATTGCTTTGGACATTCTAGTAAAGAGTTCAATGGATGTCAGAAGGCACTGTGAACTTGCATTTTTGTCATTGTTGGAACAGTTATAGACTATGTGGATCTTAAAAGTCAGACAAAATATACTTTTTAAAAATTCTATGCCTAGGTATTGCCTCCATAAACTCAAGTATTTAAACAAGACTATGGGGCACAGAGTGTAGGTGTGACCTTATTGAAGCAAATGTATCATTGTGGGAATGGTCTTTAAGACCTTATCCTTACCTTCCTCAAAGCCATTCTTTTACTAGCAGCCTTGAGAAAAAGATGAAAATTCTTAGCTCCTTATGCATTATGCCTGACTGGATGTTGCCATGTTCCTAACTTGATGATGATTGACTGAACCTCTGAATTAGAAAAGAAGCCCCAGTTAAATATTGTCCTTATAGAAGTTCCTTTTGTCATGGTTTTTGTTCACTGAAGTAAATCCCTAACTAAGACAGTGAGTTACACAACAATTCTATATTTCTTAAAATATAATTGATAACCAGAGTGTCAATTTTATTTAATTAATAATATTGTAGTGATATTTTAACACATAAAAGATAGTATTACCTTACTGTTCAACTTTCTATCAGCAATATTTTCAAATTCACAGTATTTTGCATTTCTTTGTGCTGCATACTGTTGTATAATATAATTAATTAACAGACACTGGCCAGATTTGTTCCTAGACTGTTATAGTGCATACACAGGATACATTCAAAAAGTAATGTGTGTGTGTGTGTGTGTGTGTGTGTGTGTGTGTGTGTGTGTTGACAGATTTCTTTTGAATTAAGTTTTGAGAGTAAAAGTTATTATTATTGAAAATTGGTATTAAAAGAAGAGAATGTGGACACTTCATAAGAATCAGTAGCCTACATATGAAGTTGAGAATTGTTTCAAAATATGTGAAAAATTGTGTTGTAATTTTGATGAGAATTTTGTGGAATCTGGGAATTGCTTTTGATTAGATGGCCATTTCCACTGTGTTAATTCTACTGATCCATAAACAAGTTAGATCTTTCCAGTTTCTGATATCTTCCACAGTGTCTCTTTTCAGGGACCTAAAATTTGTGTCATACTGATTTTCACTCACTTGGTTAGAGATACATGATGTTGAAGATATTTCTGTTTATCGTAAATGGTATTGTTTCCCTAACTTCTTCTCAGACATGTTATTGCTTATGTATAGGAGGGTACTGACTTATTTGACTTAATTTTGTATTCAACCCCATTCTTGAATGATTACATTAGCTGTAGTAATTCTCTGTAGAATTTTGGGCATGAAAAGATTGTTCAATATACAAAAATTCATAAATGAAATACATTATATTAAAAAAACTCAATGAAAAATGACATTATCATCACATTAGAGGCTGAAAATGTATATGATAAAATATAGCACATCTCCATATTAAAAGTTTTTGAGAGATCGGGAAGTAAATGTCCTTACGTAAACATAGTAAAAGCAATATATGGCTAACCATCAGCCAGCATCAAATTAAATAAAGAGATACTTAAAGCAATCCCACTAAATTAAGGGACAAGACAGGGATGCACACTCTCTCCATATAGAAATATGACAACATCAGTAGATTAAAGGAGCACAAATTTGAAAAGAAATTGTCAAGGCATCAGTATTTGTGGATGACATGGTAGTTTATATAAGTGACCTCCCAATATCTACTAAATCCTTCTACAGATAATAATTAATTTCAGATAAGTGGCTCAATAAATTACCTCAAACAGATTAGCAGATTTCTTCTAAACAAAGGATAAACAGGATGAGAAAAAGGTAGAGAAACAGCACCTTTCAAAATAGGCATAAATAGTATAAAATATCTTGGTGTAACTCTTACCAAGCAAGTGGAAAATTTGTATGACAATAACTTCAAGTCTTTTATGAAAGAAATTGAAGAAAACCTCAGAAAATGGAGACATCTCCCATGCTCAAAGATAAGTAGGATTAACATAGTAAATATGGCCATCCTACCAAAAGCAATCAACAGATTCAGTGCAATCTCCATCAAAATTCCAACACAATTCTTCACAGACATTGAACAAACAATTCTAAATTTTATATGGAAAAACAAAAAGCTCAGGATAGTAAAAATGATTCTTAAAACGTAAAGAACTTTTGGAATAATTATCATACCTGACCTTGAGCTGTACTTCAGAGCACTAGTGATAATAACCACATTATATTGGTAAAGAGATAGACAGGTCAAACGATGAAATAGAAATGAAGACCCGGAAATTAGCCCACAAATATATGGACACTGTAACTTTGACAAAGAAGCCAAAATAATACAATCGAAAAAAAAAAACACATTCAATGATTGGTGCTGGACTTACTAATAGTCTGTATTTAAAAATTTGAAAATAGGGGACTTCCGGTTTGGGACCGAGCCTAGAGCAGGTCGCAGGCAGCAGCTCCTTACCCAACTGCAGAAAACCAAGAAAAACAGGGACTCCGAGGAGCTTGAACTCAGGCAGCATCCCAGGTAAGATTGAATCACCCGTGATGCCTGCTATTAGAAGTTCTAACCCAGATGGACCAGAAGCCAGGAGCCTCGCCCTTACCCTCACCCCCTACCTTTTCCCACCTGCACAAGGTCCCCTGAAGCTGGGCAACTGCAAGATCCTGCTTGGCAACTGCAGATAGACTCAAAGCAGTGTACCATATCATCTGAAGAATAGCAGGGAGACCATAACTCAAGCAGTGTACCATATCTTCTGAAGAATAGCAGGTTGCAGTCCTCCTCGCCCCCACGAATAACCAGGACCCAACGGTCGGGTCAAGTGGCACCCAGACGTGGGCTCGAGGCACGGACCCATCCGGACGGACCCTCATTGAGAGGATGTGCGCACGACATCAAGATTGAGCAAGACAGAGATCATCGCCCGTGACCTGTCGTCCACGGAACCAGGTTGATGCTGCCATCAAGAAGGCAGTTGAAGTTCATTACCATCAGCTGAAAATTGCAGAGGATCCAGAAGTGACTCCGCAGGAGACTGACACAGCTGTCAGCTCCCCTGCCTCCCCCTACGGTCGACCCCTAGACTTCCACACCCTCCAGAAGGGTTCCTGGTATGCCTGGCTTTGCCCTCATTTCTCTCGCTAGAGAGCTTGGCCTCTTGATCACCACAACAAAAATTGGCTTTTTCCTAAACCAAGGCCACCCTTGATATGGCCGCTAACATTGGGGAGCCTTCCTTTATGACAATATTACACCCCAAACTGACAAATGGTTGGTAACTTGAACATTTACAAGAGACTAGGATGGCTGTGAGTTAGCCCAATGACGGGATTATTGTAGGTCCACTTCCCAGGGGCCCACCCAATGCAGCCGAAAAGGAGTGCGTGGTGCTGGGAGTGGGGGCAGCCTACATGGCCTAAGACAGGGCTCTCACCCTCCTTTCACCCACATCAGAGTCCCTTGACGTTGCCCATCGTCGACAGCCTAAAGCCTTCGACCATCGATGTGACTCGTCTCACATCAGTGTTTTGGGGTTGTGAACTTGTCTAAGACCCCCCCATAATTAGACATCCAAATTCAAAACTCACATAGTTGGGATTGAACATAAGACGCCTTCTCTAACTAAACAGAGAAGGGGGAGATGCCAGAAGCCAGGACCCTCGCCCTTACCCTTACCCCCTACCTTTCCCCACCTGCACAATGTCCTCTGAAGCTTGGCAACTGCAAGATCCTGCTTAGCAACTGCAGATAGACTCAAATCAGAGTACCATGTCTTCTTAAGAATAGCAGGGAGACCATAACTCAAGCAGTGTACCATATCTTCTGAAGAACAGCAGGTAGATCATAATTCAAGGCAGTGTACCATATAGACCATGACATGTTTCAAGGCACAGGCCAAGAAGATTTTGTACTTTTCCACCACCTGGACCCTCTTACCCCCTCCCCTTGTAAAACATGCTATCAAAAAGCGTTTCATGTTCAAAAAAAAAAACTCAAAAAAAAAAGAATTAGGATCAAAATTAAGACAGAGTCAACACTATATCAAAGAAATGTGATGTTTCAAATAACCCAACCTGGGAATGAAATGAGTGGATTGTCAGATATGACACCTTGAGCCCCTTCAAGACTCTGATATTTATTCCTCAGGTGTCTGAAAGGGTTAGATGCCAATAATAAAACATTAAACTCCTCTCTAGAAAATGCTTTTGGTACAATAAATATGTAAATAAATAAAAACAAAAAAACAAAAAAAATTTGAAAATAAATTTATATTTATTACCTTCTCACAAAATTCATGTCCCAGTGTATCAAAATACTCAGTATAAACCAGATAATTTACAACTGAGGAGTCCCTAATGGCTAAAAAACAGTTAAGAAAAAAATTCATTAGTGATCAGTGAAATGCAAATCAAAATGACCCTGAGATGCCACCTTATACCAACTAGAATGGCTAAGATAAAAAAAAAAAACTCACTTGAGAGTACACGCTGGCAAAAAAAAAAAGGAGAAAGTGGAACACTCATTGGTTGCATTTGGGATTCCAAACTGGTACAACAAATCTTGAAATCACTCTGGCACTTCAGAAAATTGGAAATAGATCAACCTGAACAGCCAGCTAAAGTATGTTTGGGTATGTACCCAAAAGTTGCCCCACTGGGCACATTGCTATGTTCATAGTAGCCTTATTTATAAGAGTAATAAGCTGGCAGTAACCCAGATGTCCTCCAACTGAAAAACGGATACAGAAAATGTGGTACATTTACACAATGGAATATTACTCAGTTATTAAGATCAAAGGCATCATGAGTTTTTAAGGAAAATAGATAAAACTACAAAATAATATCCTGAGTGAGATAACACAGACCAAAAGGACATATATTATATGAACTCTCTAATAAGTTGATAGACAAAAAGCAAGGAGCACATAGGATACAATCTTTTAGAGTGTATGAACTTTAAGAAGCAGACAAGCCAAGATAGGAGGATGAAGGACTAGAATAAGGAAATGTGAGAGGGTGACCACAGATTGTGGACCATGACTGATTATAAATAAGTTAATAAAATCATTAACTGTGGTGTGAGCTTATAGATTTAGAATATTTGCTCATTTCTATTATAGCAGGATGCATAAAAGCAGCCAGGGATAGATCACACTGGAACATAAGCTGAATGTTTAAATCTTGATTTGAAGACTGCAGTATAAATAGAGAGCAGATGTGACATGGACTTTTGAAACCTAAAGCCAGACCTTCTCTGTATACCTAACCCTAAAAGACTACAACCACTAGTCTTTCCTAATGGGTCGAGTCACAAAATAAAAAGTTCTGTAAAACTCTAATCCAAGAGAAGCCAGAAAGTTAGCAAGACCTTCACTGTAAAGAAAACTACAAAACAACACTGTTTTCTGAACACAGAAAAATGGTTCTCATAAATTCATAACACATGAGAAAATATGATAGATGCAAGTGGGCTAATCCCAGACCAAGATTCAGCATAGATATTGGAGTTAGCCATGAAAACACCTCCACTCGAGGTATTAGCAGTTGATAGCTACTGGGAGGAGAATCCGTTTTCTTTTTCAATGTACAGCACATGGTGGGTTAACAATCCTTAAGTAACATGCACACACATAAGTACAGATGAGTATTATGAAATATATTAGTTAGTTTAATTACAAATTTTTGAAGTTAGGGAAAGGGAATAAATCAAGGTAGACTTTGAGTGGTGAAAGTGATGAAAACACATTGTATGAAATTATCAAACAACTAAATATGAGAAATGAACTGTTACTAATACCTATGAAGATGCAATAGATCTGAGCAATATATGGTTCTTAAAAATCACTGAAATACATTTTGAGAAACAATCATTGATACTTTATTATTACATGCTAAATGGCACAGTGAAATGAAAAACATTGAGAGGTACAGGGCAAAATATTGTATCTTCCAATATCAATATTGGCACTACGTTAAAGATATAAATCAAGTATGATTTTAATGGCTGTGTTGAGATATTTCAAGAGAATGATGATGAATTATGATATTTAAATTCCTAACAAAAGGAATAAAAAGATTTTTATCTGACTTCTACTCAGATCATTTTCATTTGCTAGCAATTTGGAATGTAGTGCAGAAATAAGAAATAAAACTCAATTTACCTGTCTCATTAGAAATTTCATTGTCTGCACAAGGAGTGCACTTGTAGCAGCAGATGGCCTTGCCCTCCAGGGCGACTTTCCTGTATCCAGGCCGACAGCTCTCACTGCACACAGACTGAGGGATCTGAGAAGAATGAAAAGAATGTTATCTAATGCTTAGGGTTTTATGAAAAATCATAAAACAGAGTTTTTGAATGTTATGCCCTGAAGGATGAAGTATTGTTATTAATACCTAGTTTTTTTAAAATATTATTTGTAGTAATGGGGGATGGGGAACATGGTGTAGCCACCAGAAACTAACAGATGCCAGCAAAGCCAAACTCCCAGTATCCAAGGGGGATGACAATAGCTGAAATAGCAAAGGGGAGAGAGAGAATCTGTAGAGATCATATCCATAGGTTAGGCGCAGGCCTCTGTTGAGGGATCGAGCCACCAACCCAACACAAAAATATTAACCTAGAATTGCTCCTGTCTAAAGGATTACAAGGACAAAGAGTGGAGCAAAGACTGAAGGAGATGTCATCCAGAAACTGATCCACTTAAGGATCTATCCCATATGCATTGACCAAACCATGATATTATTGCTGATGCCAAGAAGTCTTTGCTGACAGGAGCCTGATATAGCTGTCTACTGAGAGGCTCTGCCATAGCTTTACTAATACAGAAGCAGATACAGACAGCCATCTGACTGAACATGGGGACCCCAATGGTGGAGTTAGGGGAAGGACAGGAGGAGCTGAAGGGGTTTGCAACCCCATAGGAAGAACAATTAACCAGGTCCTGTAGAGCACTCAGGGACTAAAAAACCAACCAAAGAACATATATGGAGGGATCCATGGCTCTAGCTGCATATGTGGCAGATGATGGCCTTATCAGGCATCAATAGGACAGGTGGCCCTTGGACCTATAAAAGTGTGATGTCCAGCATGGGAGAATGCTAGGTCAGAGTGGCAAGAGTGCAGGGCGAGGGGGGAGAACCCTCATAGAAACAGTGAGAGGGGGTTGCGATAGAAAGTTTGCAAAAGATAAACAATTAAAGGGGATAACATTTAACATGTAAATAAATAAAATAAGCAATAAAAATTTTAAAAATAAATTTAAAAAAGAAGAAATAAAAGGTTATGCCTTCGAGAAGGCAAATGTGCTTAAATTTTTGTCCGAGTATTATCATAGTGTTAAAAATTTTGGAATCTTCAAGAGTTTAGGACAAGTTTGTGAAATATTGGTGATTAGGAACATGATATAGAAGGCCATGGGGTTCATCTAGTCTAACACTAACTTTGTAGTTTCTGACACCTGTGTTGAGCATCTTAACTTCCATCCTAATTGTGAATCTTGACTGTCAATCTGAGAGAATTCATAATTATCATGAAAGCAAATAAATGTACATTTGTAGGAAGAAATATATAGATAAACTTAGCTAACAGGAAAGGGGTCAGTTAAAATTTAGATGTCACTATTTATTATACAAATGTGACAATTGTAGAGGAAATAGGGGAGAGCTGCAGTATTCATTGCCACCTGCCTTCAGAGGACAATATACCACCAGCACCCTCTTACATTTGAAAATCATGTGTTTTCAAATACAATGTCCTGCACACTCAAACTTTCTGCCAGTTATTTCAAGATATTATTAAACATTGAATTAGATAGGACATATTGAGAATGAAAGGACAATTAAGAGATGCTAATGGAGTGATTTTATGTTATTTTGAAAGAAAAATATTCCTTATAGGCTAAAGCATTTTAATGTTTATTTCCTTTTTTGTGAAATAATATGGGAAGTTATTTAAACTTTCAGGGATTCAGATAGTCTGAAAAAATTATGATGCATTGGTTGGGAATTGAAATATTATAATGTTTCCTTCATTCCAGTTTTCTAATATTGTTTACGATTAATATATGTAAAATATAGATATTTTCTTTCCATTTCCTATGCCTGTCGCCAGTATGACCACTTGTTGTAATACTTCTATCCTTGGTAAATGATGATACTTCTGGAGCCATATAGCAAAATACATTCTTTCTTTTAAAAGTCATTTTGATCATGGATTTTTGTGAAATAAGTCCGTGTATGACTTAGAACAGACCACACCAGACTAAAGGATTCCAAGTGGGGTTTATTCAGGAGATAGGGCAAAGATGGGAGAGGGGAGAAGAAGAGGAAGAAGATGTAAGAAAAAGAGAGGTCAAGGGGTTCTACCTGTTTTATATGGGTGGTGATGTAGCCTCTCCCAGGTAAAGGTGAGGTAGCCAGGTGGATTCTGGGAATGTATGGTAGTTGTCTTGGCAACAATGTGGGGGTTGCCTAGATTGATGTCAATGTGTTCAGGGTCTGATACCAACATTTTAACCATACAATAATAAATAAATTTAGATATCGTTTCATAATATTAATCTAAAATGAGATTTTTTTCACTTTCACATTTAACAGATGAGTTGTTTGGAAATAAAAAATTTTATCTTACCATATGTCCCATCCCTACTTTTTGACAAATGGAGGAAGCCTAATCTTCATATGAGTTAGCAATGGGAAACTTATTGAAGACTATATACTTCCATTGATCTGAATCAAGGAAAATGGAAAGCTAGTATACTAATATTACTTTGTTGAATTCTTTAATGATACCAGAAGTATAATAGAACTTGAGCTATACATCATTATATCAGAAAACATAATTGTGATAGTAATACAAGCACAAAGCATTTAGATAATATGTAACCCACCTCTGAAAATGTTTCTGGCCATTGAATCATCTGTTCAGATAAACACAACTGTTGACTCTGGGGAGCATTTGCAGAAAAGGATCCTATTTTCACTTTCAGTCCAAGACCCTTTGGTAAATTCCAGTAGTTAAGAATGTCATATTCTGCATCTATTGTTTGTCTCCAATCTAAACTCCTTTTGTCTCTCATCTCAATGTCCTTAAGGAAAGTGTTAAGCTGAAAGAGAAATACAATTTGATATTACATTATGGTGAAGGGGTAGAATAAAATGTGGATTTTGGTATGTGTCTTATTGTTCTTAATTTCAGCTGTGAACATCAACATTAATGAATATTTTATTAATGATGAGAAAGTGAAACCCTGAATGTGAGAATACCATTCTGCTTCTGAATTATTATTCAGATATTTAAGTGAAAACTTTGAACCAAGCTCAAGTAACCAATCAATGACAACTGAACTATGAAAAGATCAACTTTTTGAAACCTAGCAAGACTCATTTGCTTTGAGAATATCTTCAGAGTTCTAGCATCTAAAAGGAGGATGCTGATGTCCAGAAATCAACTAAAAGGCATCATTTATATATAAACCAACCATCATTGTTTACTTAAATGTCCCTGTTTTAATTTCTCTTGTAAAAAATATATAAAGTACTGATTTTTTAAGTGCAACAATTACCAGGAGAAGATTGTATAGCTAGATATTGATGACATGACCTAGATTGTGACTAAGCATATTTGCTCTTGGTTTTTTACATGCCATTTCACTACATCATACACTTGAACCTACCTTGACTTCTAGATAAGGTTAGAAACACAAATAATTCTATGATTTTGGACAACATAAATTGAATTTTGAAATACCTAAGTTAGTGTTGTTACAAACGTCATATGTCTGAGTACTGACAATAAAATACAGTAGAAAGATTATTACCTGCCATGGAAAGAACTCCATCTTTTCTCCATTTCCAAATGATTGCATATGAAGTTGCTGAAGTCTCATCTCATGGAGGCTGTGAGCCACAGCATACACACCATTGTAAATACTAATGCTCTCTTCACTCATGGCCACATCAAATATATGACTAGGTAATACATCCAAAGAAGCATTGGCTTGACAGTTGTCCAAAACATGACAATTAATATGAGAAAATGAGCACTTGAAGAACAAATACCATATCTTGGGAAGATAAATGTCTTCTGGGTATTTATTAGGATTAACTGTTTGAATAAATTTAGTAAAATCATTTTTTTCTCTATAATTGTGCTTAAAAATTATACTTCCATGGAATGAGTCTAACATGAAGTAATCATTAATTTCAGTAATATGATTTTCAATGTTCATGATCCAGACTTTCCATGTCAATAACCTCTGCCCAATATTTCGCAGAAGAACTTCTAAAGAATCAATGTCACCATAAATAATTATTACATTTGTCTTATCCATATTTTCCCAGAATTTGTTAAAATATAAAGTCCATGTGGCTGGGATCATTTTTACAAAAGCTATGCAGATTCTTTTTCTCTCTGTTTCCTCTCTAAAATCTGACAGAACTTTATTTCCTTTGTGGTCATCTGGGAGAAATAAACCAACCCAGGACCACTTAAAATGAACCATCAAAGAAACAATGGCAAGTGAAAGAGATGTGTCCTTGGGGGTCATCTGGTAGAGAGAAGAAAACTGACCATGGTCACTCAAGAGAGGATCATAAGGTCCAAAAGTAATCTGAAGCAAATTCGAAAGAAGAGAAAGAATATAAACATCAAAAAATTTCATTCCTGAGACAAAAGATGATAGAACATTTTAAAGGAACATTCCATTGACTACATTTTACAGAAGTTTCTGGCAAGACTTTAAGTTTCATAGGCTTATCTGGTTTCATTTACTACACCAACCTTCTTCTTACAAGCAATAGAAATCTGGAATGAACTCCATTTGTCTGGGTATTGCTTTCATATTTGGATAATTGTTCAATCACTCTTTGAGTTTAAAGAAACCTGTAATATGAACAAACGAACTGACTCTCAGTTCCCACAATCCAAATTTCCTCACCTGTGGAAATTTAAAGAGGTGAAGCAATGTTCCAATTTGGGCAGATGTTATCCATGATGTTCCTGTGAGTGCAGCTGTGAAATTTCTCTTTTTGCAATTGTAATTAGGTAAAACCTTTCTCTGCAGATGAGCTGTAAGCCACATACAAGTATTAATAAGTGTTTCCTTCTCAATGAATCTGACATTGTAGAAATCAAATCCAAGAGATATATTGGGTAAAAGTTTGGGGTTCCGGTTGATCTCTTCAATGGCAAATCGCAGAGCCAAAATATACTGGTAGTTCTTAAAGTTATACCTGTGTAAGTGGCATAGATATACACAAGAGGATGATCATGTATACCATGCATATCTTCCTATTTTGTACAGTAAATTTTATACTTAAATTTTGATTATACAAAACATGTAATTTAATTTGTTTACTGTGAATAGATGAACTAAAGTAGGCAAACGTTTTAGGGTTATTAAATATCTTTTACCATTACTACTTATCAATTATCGATCCTCAAAGGTTATATTATTTATATTCTATATGCGGATTCTTTACACATTCAGTTTACAAACCATGAATCATTTTCACCCCAATAACAGATCTGTTAGAATCTAGAATTTTGGATTTCTGGGGTCTTCATTTATGACTCTTCACCATTTTATTAACAACTCAACCACTTTTTAAACATAATATGTTAACTAAATAATATTCCAAAATAAATGTATTTGCATATTTGGCCATTGAAGGTATTTCTCTGACAAATCTTTTTGTATATGGTGGCCTGGAGTGACTAGTGTCATACAAGAAGCATAGGAAAAAGGACTTGTGTATCTTACTACATGAGATTAAAAAGAATGTATCACCATGAACTTTACATTTTTATCATTATGTGTATTTGCTATTTATGCATGTGACTGTTTGTATGTTTCTCTCTTAGTATATGCAGTTGTAAGGAGTTCAGGAAATATAAATTCGAGCCAAGACAACCCAAGATTGATTCCTAGCTATTCACCATATTTACAAATAGTTTTTTTTTTGGTTTGTGTATTTATGTATTTATTTAAGCAAGTATGCATTTTATTCATTTAATGTTCAGTTGCTTGCTTCATTTACTCAATATCACAGAGTCTATAACTTGACTATAAGTTGTTGTGTATATCAGGCTGGTCTTGAACTCAGGAGTACCTACCTGTCTCCTTCTCTAGACTACTAGGATTAAAGTCTTCCACCAGCATATCTACCTGCTGGAATCCTTCTCTTTCTTTTATCACATATGCCTGGATCTCTACACAGCAAACTTGTGAGATTATGTTTTTTTCTGTCTCCTACCCTCTATATGATCACAGGATTACATGTATGTATCCATATTCTTTTGAAATATGTGAACTCAGTTCCTCACACATGACATGCTCTACTCTTTGAAACATCTCTTCATCTGTTGAACAAATATTGTGGAACAAATATTTTACTCCAAAAGGCCCCCAATCCACAGTGACTAAAAGTATCATTTAATTTCTCTGTCAAAGTGAGTTGATCACAAAACAGAACAACAACAACAAAAGGCATTAAGGTTTCATAGTGTATATTTTTCTTCTCTTTCAATGCTTAAAGATTTAGCTAAAAAGCAGTGGGAAGAAATTAAGAACCAAAGGTTATCAGTAGCCTCAGAGAAAGAGTGAATTTTGAAGACAAGAGGAAAATTATATTTATGATCTTATCCTAAATATAATAACATGTAATGATCTGTGAATGTTCAAGTAAACAAAAAACCAGCAAGGAGAGTGAAGATCAGCACAAAGTTCAACCCCTATATAAGAGGGAATTATTCTCAATTAAAGTTTCCTTGCTGTGAGGATACAAAATGAGCATTGTTACCCTCATAAAGGAAAACATTTAACTGGGGCTAGTTTACATTTTCAGAGTTTAGTCATATTGTCACGGTCGGAACCATGACAGTATACAAGTAGAAATGGTCTTCAAAATGTATTTGAATGTTTTACATCTTAATACACAGTCAGCAAAAGTAGGAACTGGGGCACACCAGCTAGACTTATTATTCTTAGAAGTGTAACCTGACAACCAGAGTGACACACTTCCTATAAGATATCCATGCCTACTCCAATGAGGACAAACATCCTTATAGGGTCACTCAGTATGGTCAAAACATCTAAAGAGAATAGTTTATGGGATGATTTCTATACAAACCACTACATGTCATTACTGGACCATGATAGGGATTTAGCCATATACTAGTGAAAAATGAACTTAGTCCAATTTAATTTCCCATACTCTAAAACAGCCTCAAGTTTGTTTGAAGCTCAAAATTCAAAGTCTCTTCTGAAATTAATGTATACGTGCAATGTAGTCTCCTGAAAATAAAATTAAAAAAGTAGATCGCATACTTTCAAAATGTAATAGCACAGAATTTACAATACTATTTAAAATTTGAGAAAAAATGTAATATAGTCAGAAAATATTGGATAAAGGCAAGATGAAAAACAACCTGAGCAAGTTCCAAACTCTGCAATTCCATGTCACATTTCAGAATGTTCTTTGAATCTCCAATACCTTTCAATTCTGTTGACTTCAAACCACATCTTTCTCTCGGGCTTTTTCATTCCCATTAGCAGTGCTTATTGGCAGTTATTGCATGCCTATGACATCTTAAACATTGCAGTAAAATCTAGGATTCTCCTTTGGTGTTTGACATAATGGCTCCTCTAAGTCTCTTTCTACAGACATCACTGATATAATCCTGGACTTAACAGATGTCCTCAATCACAAAGAGAGATGCCCTAACTACCTTCTTCAATCCTTGACTCTTAATGTCAGAACCACATGGCTGAACCTGCCAAGTTATGTTGCATGCTAGGGCTGGAAGATGGCTCCTTCATAAAATTAAATCTGCACTGGTTTTCTGTTTTTATTACTTTCATTTACATTCTAATTTTGGATATCCTGAAACACAATTTGTAAACAAAGCTTGTGGCCTTAAACTACTTTTCACAAATTGGTAGCATAGCTGGGTGGAATTTTGCCCAGAGATTTTTCACTCCTTTTATTGCATTTAACATCAGACTTTCTTTTAATCTCTGTATATGTCTGAATACAGCAAATAGTTTAAGAGTGGGATTTAGTACTCTTTTTGTCCTCAATCTATATATTTTGTATTTTTGTCTTTCAGTAATTTTTTTTGTAATTTTCTCTATGTCTTCATATAATTAAACAATAATGACCCTATGCCATTGACAAAAGAAGACTGTGTTGAAATTTTCTTTGCCAATAGAATAAATCTGTAACGTCAGGCACACTCTTTGAACAAGGTCAAAATGCAGCATCACTCTTTACCAAGATATCTCAAGTGCAATTTCTAGGAAACATACTAACATTCTTCTCCTTGTGTCTACTTGTACCAGGAATGCAGAATTCAAATTATACTCAGTAACACTTTTTTTTCCACATTCTTCTTTAGTTGGTTCATTAATCAGCACTAAAAGGATTTCTCTGCTTTCCTAAAAAAAGTCCCAAAATCAATATTCCTCCAAATACAAAGCAAAGCCTATCACAGCAATTAACCTTTCTCTAGTATAAACGTGTTTCCTTGCATTTAGTAGACGTTCAGACACACAATGACCATAACATGCCTCATAAAGGAAAACATTTAACTTCAGTTTACTTACAATTTCAGAGACTTTGTCCTTTTCATCATGGTGGGAAGCATTGCCATGTGCAGTAGGAAATGCTCTTTCACAAAGAACTTAGAGTTCTACATTTTTATCCACAGGCAGCAGAATTGAAAACCCTGGGCAAAATTGAACTTCTTAGATTTCTAGACCACCCCTGCATAGGGGGGCACACTAACTCTAGCAAGGTCACACCTACTCCAAAAGACTACTCAGCATGAGTAAGGCATTCACACATGAGTCTATGGGGTCCATTTCTACTAAAAGCACAAAAGTATTTCCATTTGATAACTTCTGGAAGAAGAGTCAGGTTTCTTCAATAATGTGATTTCTTCTAGACAAATAATATTCTAGGGTGAACGCAACCTGAAAGGTACTTGGGCAACACAAATTTAACTTGGTTAAGAATTGTATTGAACTTCATCAGAAGCAGTTTCTCTAAGTGCAGAGCTGATTTGATGATGTTGTAAGATTTTGCTAATTCACCTTCCTATAAAAGCAACAATTTATTTTCAATGAATTAAATTTACCCTTACTTTCACTCATAGGACCAAAAAGCATAGAATGAACTTGAACATGTCCAATAGAGAAAAGATAATTTCAAAACTGAAGCAAGATTTATAATTTTAATAATGGAGGCTAAAGTTGTAAAATAGCTATAAATCAGTGACACAGATTTTTGTAAAAGGGGTTTTTCCTTAGTACTTAAAAGCCAGTAAGTATTGTCATTAGCTCCATTTGTTATGCAAAGATTTCTTGTGTGATGAAAATTGTTTTAAGATCTTAATAATTAAGGTAACCTGATTGAGAAGGTGTCATCAGTAAATATTTTTGTGGAGATTCGGTCCTGTACTGCCAGTGGTTGCCTGCTGCAGCTGTTGGATAATTCTACATAAAGAAAAATGGGTTGATTGCAGTAGGTTGTTTAATTACCTCTGTTTGAGGGGCCTGAGGTAGGTTCCTTACACAGTTTCCAGGGTTTAATAAGATTGCTGTATTATTAGTGATTACATTAGCATAATAAAAGGTAGTGTCATTTTTATAAAAGCAAGTTTAGCACTCTTAAGCCACTGGTACCCTTTCAGACAAAGAGGACAACTGGTTGGATTTCTTCTCTGAGTGGGGTCAGGAGCATTGAAATTTATAGTACCTCCTGCTTTATTCATACAATGTAAGCTTCAATAATGGAACATATTGCTTGATGATGCTAGTCCTTTTCAGCCTGAGATTACTTTTATAACTGCCTCTCCTGTTAAAGCTTGTCTTCAACAACATCAACATGTTGGCAACTGAAGTGGATGACTTGAAACAGAAAATATACCCTCAGACAATATTATTAATTTAATAGGCTGGGAAACCAAGGACGAGTAAGATTCTGCACAAAGCCTTACCAACCTTAGACACAAGAGCACTGTTTTTGATAATGCATATTCCAAAATGGGTAAGAAAAGCATGGTTGTCAGAATTACCTAAGACAGACTCAGTCTTATATATGCAATAGAAAATTGGGAGATTTGGAGTGGTTTTTGGGCTTCCTGGCAAGAAAATGACCTTGGGCAAGGCAAGGAAATGGGCTGCTTAGAAGGAATCTGACATTAGGTTAGAACAAAGTAATTTCAAGCA